AAGAAGATAGCAATAAAAGAATACTTAAAGAATATGACAATAGAAAACTACAAAATCATGAGAACGAAAATAAATAAGACTAAATCACTTATTAAAAAGGCCAAAAGCGAGACTTGGAGAAACTACATCGAAAGCATCAACCCAAAACAAACCGGCTCTATGTGGAACAAAATTTAAACCTTACGTGGTAAGCGAATTTACATGCAAAATATGGTGTTAAGTAACCGAACACATGCAATAGGCTTTCTCGAACAATTGTCGAACATCTTTGTGCCCAGACAACCATTGCTTCATGGTTCTAATGTACATATTGTTTAGATTCACCCTTCCAATTAACAGAGCTGGAAGCGGCATTGAAAGGAAAATTTGGATCCCCCCCCCCCCCCCCCCCGGTGTGGACGAAATCAATTACCAAATGATCAAACTCTTACCGGCTTCGATGAAACAGAGATTGCTTTCTGCTTATAATCAAATTTGGGAGGATGCCAAGGTTCCTCCGGACTGGCAAAATATACTCATATTCCCAATATTAAAGCCTGGTAAAGATGCACTTCAGATCACTTCATACTGCCCTATTGCTCTCATCTCATGCTTAGCAAAAGTTTTCAACAAAATTGTCAAAACGAGATTAGAATGGTTTATAGAATCAACAAATATCTTGAGTCCTCTCTGTTTTGGTTTTAGGAAAAACAGGTCAACCATTGATGCAATCTTGATTCTAATCAATGATATCTACAAAGCTTTCAGAGAAAGAAAGATCCTTGTGGCATTAACCATTGATATTGATAAAGCATATGACCATGTAAAAATACAAATCTTGCTGTCTAAATTAAAAAATCTGGACATCCCTACGAAACTAACTCACTGGATAATAAATTACTTAACTCATCAAACATATTTTCTGGACACTTGGGAAGGTCGAGTATCTTATGAAACCTACAGTGGTCTCCCTCAAGAAGATACTTTGAGTCCAACGCTCTTCAATCTTTACACGGAACACATCACCAACAATACAATTGACAAGTGTAAAATCATTCAATTTGCAGATGACTTTTTAATTTATACTGTAGCAAAATCTGCAGAAGAAGGGAAAGACATAATCAGCTCAGCATTGGACAACCTAACACAAGCATTTTCAATAATAGACCTAAAAATTAATCCTAATAAATGCAGCATTACTCCTTTTACTAGAAAAAGAACAATTAACTTCAAATATTTTGAGATTTGAAATGAAAAATACACAGTTAAAAGCGAAGAACACTTAAAGTTTTTAGGAGTAACATTAGACACTAAATTAAATTTCAAAATGCATATAAAAAATATTCACACACAGTCGTTGCAAAACTTAAACATACTAAAATCTTTAGCTGGAGTATCGTGGGGTTCTCACCCACAAAAACATGCTCACTCTCTACAAAACAATAGTAAGATCTAACTTTGATTATTGTTGTGTCGTATACAATCAAACTAAATCCCCCCTCATTAATAAGTTGAATACAACACAAAACTGTGCCATAAGGTTATGTTTGGGTCCTTTTAAAACTTCTCCAGTAAAGGCGCTTCAGACCTCAGCCGGAGAGATGCCATTACACATCAGAAGGTCATGGTTAACGAAAAAATACATCCTCAAACTGTATTCCGACAATAATCATCCTGTAGGTAAAAAAATTAGAAGTGGAAACGTGTTCTGTCCCCAACTATCTTTCATTATTAACGAATTGCAGCCTCTTATTAAATCACTACACATTTCGGAAGTTCCTCTAGAATAAACAACGTCCATTCCCAAATCTTTAATTAATATTCACAGCTCCTCTAATCTAGCTGGTAAATTTTATTAGAGAAGAAAAGTTCATACCCACCAATTTATTTGAAACAATTAGCACTAAACACAATCATGGACCGCTACCCAAAGTATCTACAAATTTATACAGACGCATCAAAAACAAGTAACCAAACTTCTGTAGCTGTGTATGATCCCCAAAATAACCAGAAATTTTCACTATCAATTCCAGTTGATTTCAGTATTTTCAGCGCCGAACTATATGCCATTCTTAACGCCATAAAATACAGCGAAAACACATATATCAACCAAAAAATAGTTATTCTGACAGACTCCGCAACGGCATGTAAACACCTAAAATTAATCTATCAAAATAAAGCACTGACACACATTTCCTTTAAAATTATATCTCTGATGCACAACGCCAGCAACAATTACTTTTTTCAGTGGGTGCCGGGACACGTAGGAATATCAGGAAATGAAATGGCAGACAAAACGGCAAATCAAAACCAACTACATCGAATAAACGCGAAGGTCCCTTTACTGGATTTGATAAGAGTAGTGAGGGGGAAAATAATGAAAGACTGGCAGCATTTCTACGACTGGGAATGTGCCTCGAAGGGTAAGGACCATCATGCAGTTCAACAGAAGATAGTACTGATTCCATGGTTTGCGACCCTTAAATCTCATCTCGACCGCTCCAGCTTAGTAAAGCTGACCAGGCTTAGGATAAACCACGGTAGAACAAATAAATATCTTCATCTAATGGGTCTAGCTAAGAGCAGTCAATACCCAACATGCCAATGCTTGGAGGATCCAAAACACATTGTCTTCAAGTGCAAAAGGTTCGAAAAGCTAAGAAGAATTAGTTTAGGATCGGAAACGATGATGGAGCTAACTTTCTTCGGTCGATGAACAAAGATAACGCTCGTGACTTGTTAAAGTTCATGAATGACATCAAAGCAGTCATATAATAAAAGTCAGCACTTATTCTCAGTTAATTGAAATTCTAATTCATCTCAGTTTTTAACCATTAGTCTTGCTAGTTTCCATAATATCTAATATCTAATAATATAATATCTAATATCCAAGTCCGATATAAGTCACTTTCAGTTATCATCTAAGTGTAAATAATTAATATAAATCCAGTGTAATTTCCGTCTCAAAACCGTAATTTCATCTCACTATGACAAACAAAATATTTTGCTGGCAAAATAGGACTTGTTTTTACAAGTCTTAAAGCCAAAAAAAAAAAAAAAAAAAAAAAAAACTTGATTTATGTTTGATTCATCATTATTTAATATCACTGAAATATCTGGTCTAAGAGATAATCTATTTAATGTTGTGCTGTAATAGGGACATTCCTGAAAAATATGCCTGAGAGGACTATAGCAGTATTGGAATGTTAGAGGTGAAGTGGCTGTTTATTGATAACATACAATTATTACGAAGTTCTTTCCCCGGTTCACTTCTGGCATATATGAACAATCTATGAACTCGTAAATCATCTATTTCAGGTGATTTCCAATTATTCGGTTTGGTCTCTATTCCTTTAATATTTTCTGCATCTGGAGGAACATGCTCATCTTCATAGTCCTGTCTAGTCATTTCGTGTATGACCTGAACAGGATCTTTTCCCGCTTCTATATTTAACAGATTACACAAATAATGTTCTATATATCATCCAGCGAGATATTCATACATCCCTTATACCGATAGCCAGATTAGTTCCTTTCATTTGGATTCTTTGTGCATTCCGGAAGAACTTTCTTATTTCATGGTTTCGTCTTGAATCCTCCAATTCTCATAATTATCACTTTAGCAACTTTTTTTTTTAATGATGTAGAATTTTTTTAATGATGTAGAATTTTTTTAATGAATAAATTTTTTTTTTAATTTTTAAATCTCCAGTTTTTTTACCCATTTTCAGACACCAGAGTTTTCTCTCAATGTATTGTGCATATTTCTGGTTAACCATCTGCGTTTTTTCTCATTCCTACCCTTTATTGCAAGTACGCACTCTCAATCAAACCAAGTATTTCTGGTAGGTTTAACTGCCTTAGTTCCCTCTGCAGCAACCTCTAATATGTCCTTTATCTCAGACCATCTCTTATCCAAATTTGTATACAGCATCTCTAGTATGTATTTCTCATTGCACAGATTGCAGACCTTGTTTAAAAAGTAAGAAAGTAATACATTTTATTACAGTAATTAATTGATTTGGAATTTACTCTGATAAATATTACATTTTTAAATGCTTAAAACACAAACAAATTTCTTCTTGTAAAAATAATGAATAATTTAGTACATAATGCACCTATCAATTAAAATTTGGAGTTGAATAATAAATTTCCTCAAAAAATCACTGATTCCTCTAATCTATCATCACTGTACAGGTGAAATGCCTTTCTAACTGAGCACTTGATGGCAGTGTATTATATTTCTTAAATATTTGCTCAATTATTGGATAATTTCTTAGCATTCCAAAATCTTTTAAAAGGACAATAAATATTGTATCATAATGGTTTCTGCATGGGTTTTGGCTGTAGCAGCGGTTCAACCAAAAAAGTTGACAGTCTTCTCAGAAGTTTAAAAGTCATTTTCGGTATCATCTGTTTTCATTTGATTTTTATAACTCATTTTGCTTAACAAATTTTTGTATAATCGTCTCCTTAAAACAAATCTTTGCTCTTTCTTGGCCCAATTATCAATCCATGAAAATCCATTCTTTTTAAATTTAGGAAAACAAAGGACTGCAATTGTAGCATCTTCCCCATCAGTAGAGCGAAATCTTAAATTATGATGAAATATCATTCAACATTATTAAAGTATCCTTCTATGATAAGTTTATTAACAGCAATACAGATTGTACTGATCAGTTTCGGCTACACAAAATGTTACTTAAATAGCCCGCAGGTTAACTTAAAATCTGGACCTGCTATAAAGCTTTCAAGCACACTTTTTTACCAGACACTGATTCCACAACTAATAAGCTCATAAATTGTTTATTTGTTAGCCCTACAGACTAGGATAGGTCTTAAATAGTTTATTATTTTAAACTTTTTTTTTTGTAATATGCAATTTTCAAATTAGTATTGAAGTATAAGTTTTCTTAATCAAATTGATCAACTATAATATGCTAAATAGTTATTTATTATGTATAGATGGTCACTTGTTCTGGAGTGATTGGGGGTCTCCTGCGAAAATTGAAAGAGCTGGAATGGATGGTAGCCAAAGAACAATTTTCTTGACTGGAAACATGAGCTTACCAAATGGTTTAGCAATAGACTATGAAACATCAAGGATTTATTGGACTGATGCAAGATCAAAAACAATTGAGTATGCAAGTTTAACTGGAAAAGGCAGAACAATATTAAGTAAAAGCATATATTCATTGAAAGATATCTGTTAAACTGTTATATCAAGGATATCAATAATCATTATTTTTTTATTTTTTTAGTGTCAGAAGTATCTTTTCCTTTTGGTTTAACTATTTTCAATTCCTTATTACTTTGGACTGACAGAGTCAATAACAGTATTCATTCAGTTGATAAAATGAATGGAAAAAATGCAAAACTACTTATGTAAGTAAATACTTTGAAAATTAAAAACCTTTATTAGTACTTCTTTTTAAATATAATAATAATAATGTATATTGTTACTTTGGCTACAAGAAAAAAACCCTCTGAGTTTACTCCTTTTCTTATATACTTACTCAAAACTGTTTTTTAATAATTTAATTTATTTTAATTTAAATTCAATTTATATTTAATTCAATATTACTAATATGATCGTATTTTGAATAAATTATGATAAACAAATTATTACTAGAATACTTAACAGATCTTGCCGCAGGCGGATCTACGGGGAAAAGGCGGAGGAGGCCTTTCGGGCTGAACCCCACCCCACCCCAAAATGGTAAAATGTAATCCTGTTTCATGGAAAAAAATATTTAAAAATTAGCTCTTAAGGTATTATTTTTTGTATAATTAATTACACTTAATAGGACTTTAAATACCATTTAAACACTATTTCATATAGGTAGTTAGTTTTTTTTTTTTCCTAGTAATTATCGTTATATATATTTTTAAAAAAACCTATCGGGCTGAAGCTCCCCCAAAATTAAATCCTGGATCCGCTAGTGGATCTTGCCATCATCTTTATTTAAAACCGATTGTGATTTTCTAGTTTGTTTGAAAGGAAAATGTTTTTGTTATGAAATGTACTTTGACGATGCTAATTGTTGACAAAATGGAATTTAAGATTCATAATAGGAATTGATTGTGTTATTTAATACTTATTTTTATGTTATTTAAGTAATTTAAACTAAACTTTAAATCATAACTTGTTTCTTCTTTATGTCAATAGCCGAGGATTGTCTGGTTTAATGGACCTAACTATAATGGAACACCATAAAGAAACGGTTACAACAAAATGTCTTATAAAAAATGGAGGCTGTTCCCACTTATGTCTTTTATCTCCTAAACCTGAACGTTACAGCTGTGGATGTCCAATTGGTATATTACTGCAGGTAAAGTACAAGAAAGTTAAATTTATATTGATCCATAACTTACCATGATATTGGAATCTGGTTCCTCAGTAACTCTTCAGTACATTCACTTAGTTTAAAACATCTACTCATATAAATCATTTAATTAATAATAATCAAAATGCTATTTATTTGAATATTTAAATAACTGACTGTTGATGGATCATATGTATAAAAGACACTTTAAATGGTTTAATCACTTTCTTAAAATCATTAAACAATTATTAAATAATTTTATATTCATCTTTACTTATTATATATGTTAACAGGAAGATGGAAAAACATGTCATATAGCTCCAGAGAGATGGTTGATTGTGGCTCATAGGAAGCAAATCCGTCAGATTTCACTTGATGTTCCTTACATAGTTGATGTGGTACTTCCACTTCACAATCTTACTGGTGCTGTAGCAGTGGATGTGGACACTCATAATGGTAAAAGCTGTTTGTACTCTCAGTTAACTTAGATGTTGTATAGTTGATGTAAACCTTTTTTTGTTAACAAATTTACAATTTTCAACTTTTATAAAACTAAAACTCATGTTTGATACTGCCAACTATAATAATATAATTGTTTTTGAGTGAGGAAGAGAATAGAGTTTACATCAGCTCCACAGTAACCCTAACATCAAGAAAGGATGACTGGTTGAATTTAAGGACTATTTGCATTTTGAGGAATGGAGGGTTTCAATAAATCACCATTCTTTGTTATCACTTAACTGTAAGATAAGAACTGAATCCCTAAAATATATCACTTACAGGAATGTGATCCTCTTCCACAAAGCTTTTTCATTCTTCTGTCAACGAGCCAAGAGTGGCTGTTACTTGCCCCCAATTTCTCCCCCTCTTCTTTCACGTCCTTCTTGACTCACATTACGTTATTTAGATTAACTTTATATGCCTTTTACATCTACAATGGCCATAAATTTGGTGCCAAGTATTTATTGAGTCAGTACATTTTATTTTCACTTACCTATATATAAAAAAAAATGTAGTAAGGGAAAGTTTAGTAATTTTGCAAAATTTAGAATCTGATTATTTAACAAAAATGAATGAATAAATAATTTTAAGTCCAAATAACCATGTTTCAAAAACCAGTTTGTTTGAGGGTGCTTAAGCATAATTCGACATTCCCCATCCATATCCACATTCAAAACCCTCCTATTCCAATTCCTATCCCAAAAACAGTCAGATAGTTGTAAACTATTTGACAACATACATTTATTTCATATCATTCTTTGTCAAATATCAATTCTATTCTTTGCTAGAGATATTAGTTTTCTTATAGGGTGCAGATTGTCCTAATCTTGATGTCACTGAACGCATCTATTGGTAGTTTATAACTATAATCTTTTATACTGCACTAAATTCTTGCCTATTGTTACGTTAAGAAATGATGATGATGTATTTATACATTAATCAACATGTAAATGATAATGTATTTATATATTAATCAGGCACTTTATATTGTCAGATCCAGCTTTCTGTTTTCTCAACAGAAACACAAAGCTTATTTTAATGAAGAATTTAATATACTTTTATTTTTTAATTCTTTATTGTTTTCTTAAAAGTGTTAATTGTTTTGTATATAGTTTCATTTATTTTGTAAATAGAATGTTTACCTTATATTTTCTTTACATTATTTATTTTGTTCTATTGATTTTATTTTGGCCAGATGAAATCTTTTAATTTTGTTCTATTTTGTTGTTCTCAAGGGACTGTGTCCCAGAATAAAGTTATTTTCTATCTATCTATCTAACTAATCATTTCACTTGTAATAAGAAATGGTTATGTATAAGCTATAAAAAAATTAATAAGTAAAGGAGAAATAGACATTAGGTGAAGTGTAATAAGGGGCTTCAGAATCAATGAAGGCTATTAAAAAAAGCAAGAGCTCTTGAGCATGGTTGAAATTTTAGGATTAGTTCCCAACCTGTATAACATGCTTTATCAAGTACAGGAAACATGCAAGGCATGATAGTACATGTTTAACTTTCTCAAATGATAGCTGTCTTATTAATTAATATTTATTATTATAAATTACATATATATGGAAACTAAAACTTTTATATACACCTATATCTATTGTATATATACCTAATATAATTTGTCATAATAATGAAAAAGATTCTCAGGCTATGTGCTGTACTATAGATCAGCTTTTACAAAATGTTTTTTACCATGGCACTTTATCGGACAAAACCATTTCGCGGCACTCTTTCCTGACTAAATAAAATCTCCTTAAAATTAAGTTAATAAACAGTCATTGAAGAAAATTAACAGTGCCAAAAAAAAAAACCCACATTAATTTATAAATTTGATTTGTGGAAAAATATATGATAATTAATTATTTTAAACAAATATGTTATACATCTATAATTGTTACTTTCATTTCCCTTTGTGTGAAAATAAATAATTCTTTTCAAAGTAGGATAAGATGGTTAAATAGAAGTTGTATTGTTTTGGTTAGTATTAATTCCTACTGCACAATATGAAAGTTCTAACTTAAATTACTCCTGATTGACTGAAAAATAATTTTTTCCCAAGCTTATAATGAGTCCAGTGTATGTTTTGTTAAGCTCCTAAACTTTGATTATTTTTAGAAGGAATAAAATCCCATTGTTCCTGAGTTGGGTTGATGGACTGCCTTTTCAATTTCCTAATATTTTCCCCCATCCGGGTAGGCTATCTTAGAAATTTGGTCTTAGGATCTTCTGGTACCCTTCATGTGTTGGATGGTTTTAATAATTAATCACAGACTAAGATTACCTTTTTATTTCAGGTGATATTTATTGGTCAGATACAAGTGCAGATGTAATAAGGAGAGCAGACCCTGTCGACTTTGAAGTGACTAATATTGTTTCTGATGGACTTGACATGGCTGATGGTATTGTTATTGATACAACTGGGAGAAAGGTAGACATTAATATTGAAGAAACATTAACATTAAAGAATCCATTAAATCCTTCGATTGAATACAGAGTTGTTAATATGATGTATTATATGGAATGATAATTTTTTTTGACAATATAAATGAAATATTTTCTATTAAAAATAATTTACTTATTTTTTACTTTACTCTATAGGCTTTCCATCTAAGGGTTACCTCACATAATCAGCACAAAGCTCCAGCTTCTATCTTGCCAATCATCTTCCTCCAGACCTCGACCTGCCATTTCCTCCTGGATTCTCTCTATCCACCTGCTTCTGGGCTGTCCTCTCTTCCCTGGTAGAATCCAATCCAGGACTCGGCTCGGCCAAAATTCCTCTGTCATTCTTCTCACATGTCCATACCATTTTAGGCAGCGTCCCCCCAATCTTTTCATTCACCGCTGTACCCACATCCATTCTCTGTCAAACTACCTCATTCTTAATTTTATCCAGTCTGGTAAGATGGAGAAACCTTCTCCAGTGATCCATCTCGACTGCCTGCCCCTTTAAGTACAAACGGGAGTTATGGTCCATGTTTCTGAGGCATATGTAAGAATAACTTCCACTATTGATGTGAATATACTACGCTTGTTCTCGGTGGAAAGCTGTGTGTTCCAGAGAACTGGATGTAGGATTTGGGTAGGCTTACGGGCTTGCTTCACCTTCCTCCTGACATCATGCTCAGAAGACCCTATAGCTTCGAGATAAGAGCCCAGGTATTTGAAAATATTAACCTTTTTCAAGACTCCTTGTCCACTAGAAGTGCTCCAGTATCCGTATCGCCTATGGCCATGTATTCGGTCTTCTCGAAGTTGATCTTTAATCCAGCCATTTTGTAAATCGTAAACTGAAACACCATTACTTCGAGATAGCCAAAAATGACCTGGTCGTCACCGAAAAACAATGACAGCAATTGCTCATGATCAATAAATGGCCCAACGTCCCCGCATTGCTCATACCACGGCTTTACTGCCTTGTGCATATATATCTTAAAGAGAGTTGGTGACATGCTACATCTTTTCTTCAACCTCTTGGTACCAAGAAAAGGCTCAGAAAGGTGGTTTCCGCATCTTATCTGGTACATGTCGTTGCCATATAAGTGCCTCACAGCCCTTATCAATGAACCACTAATGCTGGCTTTTTCAAGTGTCACCCACAACCTCTCTCTTGGAACATTATCATAAGCCTGCTCGAGGTCTATCAAAGCCATATGTAATTCCTGTTTTCTTTATTGGGACTTCTCTATAAGTAGACAAAGAACAAATATGTTATCTGTACATGATGAGCCAGCTGTAAAACCTGCTTGCTCCCGCGGGGTGATGTATGCCTGTTCCAACTTATCCCTGAGCAGCCTTCCAATAATCCTTGTCACGGAATTTCCTTGATAGTTCTTGCATATTTTTTGATCACCCTTCTTGTATATTGATGATATTTAGCCAGCCCTTAGGTCATCTGGGATGTCCTCTCCTTTAAGAACATGGTTAATCACCTCTGTCAGAATGGCTACTAGCTTTGCCAGATGTGCCAGTTTTTGCTTTTGCTAGCGCCATCCTCTTCCAACTCAACCGGTTGTTCAACTGCTTCAAAAACTGTTTTCTTTCTCATGCATAAACTGGGATCTATCCTCACTTAGGAGAGTTTTATAGTGGTTTTCTCACTCTTTTTCCTTAATGGGAGATAAGATATTTCCCTTTCTTGACACGCGCATCTTTCTCAGTATCCTCCAGGGCTCTCGGATTCAATTAAAACCTAGGATACTGTTTATTCGCTGCCAACATTTTTCCCATGCATCATTCTTGGCTTTTTTTAACACCTGCTCTTTTACCTTCTGATTCAGAGTTCTATATGCCGCCCAATGATCTTGTCTGATGGAAGAAAGATACTTTCCCGTATACCGTAAGCCAGCTTCTTTTCCTTTATCATCTGGGCTACTTCCTGGATCCACCAATCCAGCACACGTTACTCTTCCTCCTCACCAAGAGCCTCTCTCACTGCAAAATAGACACATTCCCTCAGATGTCCATATTTGTCCTTCGTCATTCACCCTTAGAAAAGGTCTATCCTCTCTTCCAACCTCCATTTGTATAAGGTCCTGACACTCACATCTCAGAGAAGCTGTAACTGGTATTTTGGGGTGTCCAAAGCAAAGGTATTCCATTTCTCCTGTATATTTCCATAAATCTTCCAGGGAAAGAATATCTTGGCTCTCAACATATAATGGTCACTGCCACACTCCCATCCTCTGAAGGCCCTCACATCTTCTACTTTTAAAGAGCACCTTTGCCTCGTAATACAATAATCAACATCGAGGGTTGGAATCCCCCTCTTCCCGCTTGCTCCATGTGGTTTGATGAATCCTCTTATGTCTGAAAAACATGTTCTGGATTTTTAGATTGGAAGATTCGCAGATATCTATGAGCCTACTACCATTGTCCGTCACAATTCCTTCACCAAAGCGTCCAACCACCCTGATTTCCTATGATATAACAAAAAATTTATTTTAGCATTGCAATTTTCCTTCTGCAAAATATTTTGTAATTATCAAATGTGTGCTCATCCGGATAATGGTCAACTTAGTAGGTCTCCTAGCCATTGCCCCAGAAGTTGTTATGGAAGAATGAATATATGAGTTCTTGGTTTATCAAAGTGTTAGTGTTAAAGAGTTCATATTGTAAGTCAGGTTGTTGTGGAAGATTTTGTAGTATTCTGAGGCAGTATCTGAGACTTAAAATGCTTCACCTCTCCCTATCTTGGGCTATTGTTTTCCATTTGTGTGCATGCTGCTGTAGGCCACCATTGTTTTTTCATTCTATCCATCTAGTTTTTGACCTTTCACAAGGCCTCTTCTCCCAGCTAGGGCACAATGAGGCTATCCTGGGAAGATTTAGCATAACTGACTATCAACTGGTTAGCACTTTTGATGCAAAGAGAACTTACTTGTACAAGTAAAAAAATCTCAGTTTGTGAGAGGAATGGAAGGATCCATACAATGTTAACATACTTTGTCAATGCAATTTAGATCCCAATGAAATTTATTGGTTATCTGTGAAAATATTACTAAGATACTTGCAAGGAACGAGAAAGAAAAATAGAACTTCAACGATGGAACACCACATTTGATGTGAAGATATTCAGTGGGCATGTTGTTACTTTTGGCTGGATTACTCTAATTGTAGAAGTGAAAGCAAAACTTTCTAAGCAAAACGATGGAAGCAGAGCTCATGGCAACATTTGAAGGAGTATGTGATGACTAGTCCTGAACAGAGTTTTCCTCCATGTTTAATATAATATATAGGAATAACTTATACAACACTGGAGAGCATGCTTAAAGATTCAAAAAATATTATAACGAGAAGTAAACAAAAACAAAAAATGAAGGATTAATGATGACTCAAAAATTAATATTTTATATTTTATATATATATATATATATAGTAATATCTCTCTTATATTTTACAAATAATAATATAACCTCGGAAGCTCACTTCTTGCCATTGATACTTCCTAAATAATTAAGAGGTGTAAAAATAAACAAAATTATAAGAGAATTAATATATTTATTTATCTCAGCTGTGGGTTACTGACAATCAGATCAACTCAGACAAACTATTATTATTTACACTATTTAGAATAAAATTAAACACTGATTTTAAAATAAAGTCAAATCTGGATTGGCAAGCTAAACTCTTTTCTATAGATACTATTTCTTCCTTTGTTGCCCTAAATTCATTTGTCTTCAAATAATTTCTAATGTTTTCCCAAACGCAACTTCCAAGATGGTAACACTATTACTGGGTTTTACCCACTGGAGCCAGGATCACTTCTCCTATCCTCTCTTCACTGCAGCAACACAACAACTGCTTGCCAAAACAAAAACCTTTGTCCCTCTCCTCTTTGGGATTTTCCTTCTTGGGAAATTACAGAGTAGCCATTTTCTTTTCCCTGCACTAGTAAAACTAGATTAGGCTTGCCCTTTAATTGTTTAACATTTCCAATACCAATAAAGGTGTATATTACAATATGTATGTATGTGTGTGTGTGTGTGTGTGTGTGTGTGTGTGTGTGTGTGTGTGTGTGTTTTCTTTATATATTTATATAAAGAAATATTGTATATATAATACATTGTATGTACTTTATAGAGATTTGGTTTTATCTAAATATGACAACCTCTTAGGATTTAAAATGTGTTTAATACTACTAAATTTCTTTATTATAGTTGTATTGGACTGATGCTGGAACTAATAGCATCCAGGTTTGTTCTTTGAACAGCTGTGGTACAATGCATAAGGTTTTGATTTGGAAACACCTTGATAATCCACGAGCTATCACTTTGAGTTACGATATGGGATTGTTGTTCTGGACTGACTGGGGAAGTAAACCACGTATTGAACAAGCAGACATGGACGGCCATAATAGGTTTGATTTATTTTCTTCTTTTCTACTTAAATTCTTAATGAACATTTATAGTAAGCATTCATTTTATAATTAACAAAAATTAAATTATTTCAGAATAACACTAATCAACAAGGATTTAGTTTGGCCCAATGGTTTAGCTATATATAATAATAGAATGTATTGGACAGATGCAAAGTCACAGACCATTGAAACTGCATCCTTAACTGATACCAATGACAGAATAAGACTCATAAGTGATCTGCCTCATCCTTATGCTTTAGTCTTGTTTGGAGATTATATATATTGGACAGATTGGAGTACCAAAGCCATTCACCGGGCATTTAGAAATGGATCAAATAACCTAACCATTTTGAGTGATCTGGAAGGATTGATGGATATTAGAGCTGTTCATGTGAGTAATATCAAAATAATCTAAGATAAAATGAAATAACCTGTCAACAGTATCCTATGATGATCATCTCTTCCTTTTTATATTTTTTGCTTGAAAAACTTTTAATATATAATTTTTATTTTACAGAAAATGGAAGAAAGACCTAATGTTTGTGGAAAAAATAATGGTGGATGCAGTCATCTTTGTCTTCGTAATGCTAAAGGTTATTCATGCGCTTGTCCTACAGGAATTATTTTACAGGTCAGAAATGTTAACTGTTTGTTAAATTTTATTTACTGCTAGGAATATTTGTTTTTTTTTTCATTTGGCATAACTAAAGGAGTACACACACTACATTGACATGTGGTGACCACAACATCAGCTGACATATTAACTTGTCAGTGTCACAGTGTCAGGCAGGGTGTGCACATTAAGGTTACATAAGGTATTTGGTTTTCATGTAGTTTATATCTTACAGAATGCATAGGAGACTATTAAATCATTTAAATTGGGATGTTCATAACTTAAAAAAAAAATAATTTTGTACTCCTATTTGATATGTCAATACAATTCATGAAAATGTCTATCTAAAGTGTGAAATATAGTTTATAAAATATTGATTAAATAAATTAAAAGTTCTAACTTTGTAGTGATGGCCCACTTTATAAGTTTTGATGTTATATGGTCATGGGAAAAGAAAAAAAGAGGGAATATGAGATAGTGTTTTAAGTGATATTGATCGAAGGAATTATGAGAAATTGCTTAGGGACGGCTTAAGTCTACAATAGAATTGGCTCAATTGTAAAGTACATGGCAGGTACCAGCCTATATGAGTGTTACTGATAATGATCATTGTACACTGACTTATTAAACAATTGTTACAGTGAATTAATTGTTTAATCCTAATTGTAAATAAATAATTCGTAATTGAACGAATTAGCGAACGGCTACCAGATCACTAACAGTATCCTTGGCCCTCCTATTTTGATATATGGTGGAGATAGCTAGACTATGTTGGACAGACATTACTGTCATATAACAGCAGCAGAAATGATGAGGTTCCTATATAGATTGGTGGGAAAAACTATAAGGGATTGCATTAGAAACGAAAGTATAAGAAAGCGGCTGGAAATACTTGAGCTCAAAACAGCATTGGTGAACAAACAACTAAAGTGGTTTGGACATATCTGCCATGTGAACAATTACATGTGACCTTATAAAGGTATTAGAAGCTTGACCCACTAGGAAGAGACCATGGGGCGTTCTAGATTTTCATATGAAGAATTCATGAAGAGGATTGGAAGTAGAAGAGGCAAATTCATCAACCAAATAAAACGGTTAAGCAGAGACCAAGAATAGTGACTCTGCTGGATAGAGGCTTCTTGATGCTAAAAATATCATTATGAGGAAGATAAAGAAAACGTAGGAAAGTATTGTGATCGTGAAAATTTTTGAATCTGATTTTTCAACGGAAATACACATTCTGAGTCCAAATAACAGTCTCACAAAATGGTTTGTGGCTGTGTCTGTAAACAGTCAAGCTCAGGGGGTCTCCAAACTATGGCCCACGAAAGTTTCTTTGAGCACATGATAAAATTTTAACTACTGGAAAATAACTGTGGATTAATAGTTAACTGTAGTGAATAATTATTGAAGAGAAGATTGGTTGGGATGTTCTATAAAAAAAATGTAAAAAGAAATAGAATATATTTATTTTTGCGGACATTCCGGATTTTACAGTAACTTTTTTTCTTAATTTATTTAAGAATGTTGTTTTTTGAGTGAAATTTTCAATGACATTTCAATGAAATACTAATATATTTAATATGAAAAACCTATTAAGCTTTATTTTTAAATAAGAATATTATTAAAAAAGAATCAATTTGTTTTAGAGCGATAATAAAAGTTGTGTTAACCAACCATCTGCATACCTATTATTGGCCACCCACAGAGCTTTAGTAAGAGTATCTTTGGACACAACTGAAATGTGGTATGTGACATTACCTACTCCGAACATTCATCAAGCTTCAGCAGTTGACTATCATTGGAACGAAAGTGTTATATTTTACATTGACGGACATATCAATGCTATTAGGTGTGCTTTATTGATCATAAAAACATATAATATTAAAATATTTATTGTTTAATATAAAATTACTAATTATATCCTTGTTTCAGAGCTGTCAACATGTCTTTATTAAATCATACTTGGGATGTCATTTCGAATCTTAGCCAACCTGATGGGTTAGCAGTGGACTGGATCTCAAATACCATTTATTGGTCAGACAAAGGATCAAAAACAATAGAAGTATCCAAACTGGATGGAAGCTCTAGAAAAGTCGTTATCTCCAATGCTGAAGAACCTAAATGCATTGCCATCCATCCCAAAATGGGGTAGCATATCTTTGATGATTAATTATGTGATTTTTAAATAACTTAGAGATAGTAAATAATTTAATTTACAGAGGTTTATCATGGAAGATAAATGTTATGGAAATCATTCATTTTTTTTTTAAATTATGTATGCTATCATTCAGTAGAGTAGCAAGTTCTGAGGCCCTGAGACACTGATTGCTATCAATCATGGATCTTCATCTCATTTACAGTGAGGAGAGGTTACATGGTCAATAATTTAAATATGAGAACTGTGTCACAGTTTAGTTCTCACAGTAAATTTTGAAAAGTTTTACCTTTAAATAAAAAAAAAGATATTGGAAGTAAATAATACTGACGGTGCTTACTTACAACACTATAATTCAACAAGTGATATATAGTAGTGTCATTACCTAGTTCTGCTATTAATACTGTTATAAAAGTTGAACTTTGTTTACATTCTTGGGTATTATTTAGATAATCCTCACCTCATCTTTTGCTTGGTTAACATGGAGTGGAATGACAAAGAAAACCGAACAGCTGTGATCACCTTACACAAAATTTAGATCAGAGATTTTCAACACTTTGAAACTTTTGGGTATCAACCATATGTTCGTGTACCGCACTATAAATAGATATAATGAGACCCTATCTGTATGTGACAGACCTCGACTGGGCCTTCCCTCCACTGTGAGAATGGCAAATGCAGTGAGAGCAGTGGCTGCTGAAATCAGGAGGAATCTGTGTCAGATCAATGTCTCGCATAGTAAAAAGTGACCTTAGGATGGGTGCATTTTGAAGAATGACAGGACAAAGGATAACCATTTCCCTAAAAAAAATTAGTGATAAAAAAAAAAAAGAGTGGCTAACTGCAAAGTGCTCCTTGGCCTTTACACCATTGGTCTTCATTGAAAGATTTTGTTCAGCGATGAGACAATTTTTACAGTTGAAGAAAAATTTTATCGCTTCTTCTAAAGAAGCCCAGGAAGTCATTGGAAGAGTGTAAAGAGGTCATACCCTTCCTCAGTGATGGTTTGGTGTTGAGTTCGCTTGGCACCATAAAGCTCCATTTTTGTGAAAATGGAGTTAAAACAGCCAATAAATAAAAACTTTCAGGACGATATTTTGGAACAGTTATTTACTTTTAATTTTTAAATAAATGCCACTTCCATAAAATTACTTTGTTAGTTTGACCCAATAGAATAAACACGGATGTTTCAATTTATTTTCAAACTGGATAACAAGTTGAAACTTTACAATATTATAGGTCAACCAATTGGTTTTTTAAACCAAACTTTGACAAAAATGTATTATTTTTTGTAATTGATAAACAAATCTTAATGGTAAACTTCATTCAATTTTTATTTAAATAATTGTGTTTTAGCTACTTATACTGGGCTGACTGGGGTCGTAGTCCTAAGATAGAGTGGTCATATCTTGACGGATCTGGAAAGAAAGTGATAATAGATGGAGATTTGGGTTTTCCATATGGTTTAGCTGTTGATACAGAAAGGGAAAAGTTATATTGGACAGATTCACTGAAAAATAGAATTGAAATGTCAGAATTAACAGGCTCAGGACGGATGCTACTGATTCCTGATGCTGGGCATCCTTATGGTCTCACTGTGGTAAGTTGACAAAAAAAATATTTTCTATTCATTGGAACCACGTGATATTTATAAGGTTTATAGAGAAAATTAATTAAGAACTAGTTATTCAGTAGTTGATATTTTGTGATTGACATATAGATCTGGGGCTGTGGTAACAATGTTTTTGACGTCCTCCTTTAGCATTTTTGAGTCAGAAATAGAAGTAGTTTAAATCTGGTCTAAGAGTTGTAAATAACATGCTAAAAGTTAAATTGTAAATAATTTTTTTTGGCGGGAATATTAAAACAAAACCCCGGCACTGGATATGGACTTTTTGAGGGTGTTATTGGGAACTGTTGAACTGTTGTTGGGAATTCGGGAATCTGATACCTTTTGTGACACTGAGTGAGAAGAAACAATAAGAATATATATATGAAATGTGAGAATTAGTAAATACACTTTGAATGAATTGACTCACCTTGTTTATTATTCTTCAATTGTTAGGCCTATAGGACAACTAAATAAAAGGACTATTTCAACCCTGTCTAACAAAACAATTTATTTTGACAACTGTAATAAATTAATGTATAAAAGTCTTATAACTTTAGGCTTGATATTCTTAGTCTTCAATGTATTAAGCCTCTTTTCCCAGATGACGTTTTCTCGTCCTCGTGTCCAGGCCTCAAGTGCCCCTTCTCTCCCTGACATCTTCCTCCAGCTGCTGCTACCTGACCGGACCTTTTTCGTTCATCCTCCTTCATCGATATGAGACTTTTCAATGAATAATTTGTCCACTGCACTATTGAGTACAATTCACAGTGCAACCTCACATTCCTATATATTATATATTCCTTCTCATTCCCTCACACAATGTCACATAAAAGAGTAAATACAGGGGGCTGTCTACTACAGAGCGACTGATTTTAATTTTGGGGTGAGCCCGTGGAATAAACTAAATTTTCAAACTCTGGCTAGAATAGGTTTATATATCACAATTGGAGCACCTAAGAATGTCAAACCAAATAAACAACTACAATAATAACCAGCGCCGGGAATGATAAGGAATTGCATATTTTGTTTGTATGAAGTTTTTAAACTGCTGATCAAATTTCTTTATGAATTAGTGTACTCAGATGCAATATTTCAAATTTTATATTACATATTTGATGATAAATGCACATAACTTAATATTTTATTATTATTAATTTGCTCTTCAGTCCTTAATGGACCTGGGCATAAGAAACAAGCTTCCACCAGGCTTCCCTATCGGCAGCTATTCTTTTCCATCTTCTGATACTCATGCGGCTGAGGTCCTCCTCCACGTTGTTGATCCACCACAGCCAGGGTCTTCCCCTAAGACGCGCTCCTCCTGGGCGATTATAGAGAAGTTTCCTAAGGAACCTATTCTTCTCCATATTCTCTGCATGGCCCACCCATCTGAGCCGGCTCCTTTTAACAGTGGCTATAATATCGCCATTTTTATACAGCTCATAGAGCTGGTCATTTTTCTGCATTCACCACTAGTCATTTATTTTCTTCAGACCGTATATTTTCCCTAGGACTTTTCTCTCCCAAATTATCAGCAACCTCTCACTTTCCTGTGTCAAAATCCATGTTTCACACCTATAGGTAATGATTGGCCTTATAATGGTTTTATATATTATTACTTTTGTATTTCAGGTTAGTTCCTTGGAAAAAGCACCTATTGCAAGCTGTAATTCTGACCTTCATTTTGGCCTACATTTTGTTCTGGTTAGTCACTATCACTCCGAGGTATTTGAGTCCCGTTGGAAAAAGGTGCCGATTAATTTGAACATATTCATGCATAGCTACATTATTCCATGAGGACTTCATGAAGCCATATAGGGTCTCTCTGCTTCAAGCTCTGTTTTATCTCAAAGCTTTGAGAGAACATTTATTTAGAACCTAGAACCACATTTAGAATCTTGACCTTACATTTGGTATCTCTCAGCGTCATCTCTGTCAAGGCCATCAATCTTTCAGGAATTCTCAGCATTCTCGTAGCTTTCTGTAATTCCTTTCTGTCAATAGCATAATACACCAGCTTGAAATCAATAAAGACATGGTGCAGATCCATGTTATGTTAGTATTTTTTCTACCATTTGTCTTATAGCAAAGATGTGATCCACTGTTGGCCTATTTTTCCTGAAACCACATTGATAGCCTCTGCAAATCCTTTCTCCCCATGACGCTAGTCTCTTACTAATAGCAATGGAAAGGACTTTATATACAGTTGGCAGTAGTGCTATTCCTCTGTAGTTATTGTAGTTCAACTTGTCCTCCTTTTAAAAATAGAAAATAACTTAATATTTTAGATGTGTCAATAAAGTAAAAATTAAAAAAAAAAATGTATATAAATAAAACTTAAAAATGCAACAATGAAGATGAACTTCCAGATTACAATAATTCATTTTCAATCAACTAACTAGCACAAATCCCACAAAATAATACCAATCCAGTAATTTGATTTTTAGAGTTTATATATTTTTTGATTTCCTGCTTTTAGTCTCTTTTTATCATTTTTAAACTTTTAAACACTACTATCAGTTTCAACTTCAGTTTGTTTCTTATTTTGCTTACAAGTAGTAATATTTATTATTTTTCAGTTTTAAGTAAACATAATTACCTATTGCTACTTTTGTTTAGTTATTAATTGCAAATTTGTATCACTTTGATATTTTTATTTTGAAAAAGTTCTTCATATTATGTTTTTAAACATTAATATTTCTTCACCTCTTCCTTCCTCTTTGATGCCTTTCAGCATGGAGGAGCCTCTATCCAACAGATTCAGTTCTCCCGATCCTATGCCAGCGTCTTCATTTCACCGAGTTTTTCCTTTTTCGGTGCCCATTCTGGTAATATATTCATTGTACTGTATCCTTGGCCTGCCTCTGGGTCTTTTTCCTGTTGATCGAGCTTCCAATACCCTTCTTGGGTCTTGGTCTTCATGCATCCTTCTTATATGCCCAAACCATTTTAGCTGTCGTCTCTGGAAGATGGTTTTCAGTGATTCTATGGCCAACTGCTCCCTTATGGCTCATTTCTGATGCCATCCCTTCTTGCTTTACCTACCACTCTATGCAAATACCTCATTTCTATGGCAGTCAAATGGCTAATACGTCGGTCCAGTGTCACCCAACTCTCTGAGCCATACAGTTGAGTCAGCAGAAGCACAGCTTTAAAGATATGGAGCTTCACCTTGTTAGTGACTTCTCTCTTGCCTACTATTGTGTTGCAGATCTGATAGTATATTTTATTTCCATTTCCTTTTCTGCTGGACACTTCTTTAACAACAGTGGCAGTAGTGGTGCTAACCACCATTCCCAGGTAAGTGAACTCATCAACAGTCTCAAGTCCCTCGCCGTTACAGTAGAAATGTACATTTTACTCTTTTCTGGAGATCACCAGAATTTTACTTTTGTTAGAGTTTAAAAACATTCCATTCCTCAACAGTTCCTCTTGCCATTCGATCAGGGCCCACTGCAGTTTTCCTTTATCACAACAAGAACAATATCGTCCGCAAATAAATATGCCTGCACTGATATCATTCTTAAGTTCCATTTCTCTATTACAGTTCTTTCCCATCTTCTCTTATATATCTTGTGAATTTCATCCATAAATATAATGAAAAAAATGAAATTAAATAAATTAAAATAACAATAAATTGACTAGTTAATTTGGAGATCAATTAATAAAATAAAATAAAAACTTCAGAAATATCGCTCATATGGAGTTAGATGTTCTTTTATCAAACAATTATCTCTTGATTGTAAATTGAAAAGTTTCACTTCATTTTTAAAATATGCAATAGCTGTAATGTTAAGAGATATTTTTTATTGTAATTTAATCTAGGTAAATAATATTAAAACTGGTTGGTGTAAAAACTTCAAATCTAAAGTTATTAATTTGTTTATATTCCATTCAATTTATCATTTTAGTATGGGGACTATATGTTCTGGACAGACTGGTACAAAAAGGGAATAGAGCAAGCAGATGCAGAGAGTGGCAGAGAAAAAACCAAACTGCCAGGCCATGTTGAAGGAGTGATGGATATCAAAGCAGTCTCTCCAGTTAAGCAGCAAGGGAGGAACCCATGTTCTGTTCAAAATGGCTACTGTACTCATCTCTGTCTCTTCAGGGGTAGTCACGGTTATGTCTGTGCGTGCCCTGATATTAAGGACCCCTTATGTTCCACTGGTTGGTATAAAATTTTCAAGTTTGAAAATAATGTTTTCTTTGATAAATTATATTGTATGTTAGCAAATTTGATGTTATTTGATACCTAACAGCCTGAAATATTATTTTATTTTTTTATTTAGAGGCAAAAACTGCTAATGGTTATTATTGCCCTCATAAATACACCAAACATTTTAAAGATTTTTTGTCAATTTATATTTTTCTCAATTATATTTTTATTATAATATTTATTGCATATATATATATTATGCAATATATATATATATATATATGCACTAGCACAAATGTGTAGCTTGTATCCCATGATATGAAAAGACAGAGGTTAAGGTGCGCGGGGCATATAGCTCGTAGCAATCCATCTGGAGCCTCTACCTAACAATGAATGCCTCAAAAGAGCACGTGGAAGGCCAAAAAGCAGATGGATAGATAGAATAAACAAAGATGCAACTGAGCTGTGTGCAGATCAATGGAAAGAAATAGCACAAGACAGACAAAGATGGAGCAGACTTGTTAAGGGGGCAAAAGATTTACATGGTCAGTAATGCCAAAAGAAAAAAAAAAGAAAAGAAAAATTATTTTTATTATTTTGTATATAAATTAATTTATATTTTTCAGGAGAATTTTGTTCAACTATTTAAATATCATTATAATTAACAGTTGCAGTATTCCATGAGATATATAATTTTTAAATATATGAAAACTAATAAAAAGTGAACTGGTCTGCCTGTAATTGTGTGCTAAAAATTAATCATCGTTAGTTTTTGTTACTTACATTTACATACTCATAGTAGAAGAAAAGGAGAAAGCGGTGGTGGCAAAGAAAATTGTGTGAAAAGAGATGCTAAATAATTAAACATGAATCCGATAACTTTTACACAAATTTCGTCTGAGAATTTTCAATTCATATTAAATAATGTCAGGGTTACGGTTGGGATATAAGACATGATATTTAGAAAAGCTATATCTACTTTTTAATGTCTATCTAACATAAGAATGCTCAGCAGTAACATTACACTTTCTGGATATAGGAGACCCCTAATTGAGTTTACATTACCTGTTTAAAATTTTTAAACAAGCCATTAACTAAGAGTGTCAATATGAAAGAACTGATTGACAGGGAAGAGAGCTGTAGGCTCACATTGCTTGATTCAACCTTAGTTGACATTCCTCTCCTGTATACATTGAGGAAAAATTGAACACAGCTCAATTTAATGTACTGATAACCGTCGGATCAATTTGCTTTGCCCTGAAGTCATCTGAACAAAACAGGGAGAACTCATGCTCATTCAGGGTAAATGCTTAAATGCATACAGAGCTAAACTTAAAGTATATAATTTATGATTGATTACAGCCATTATAATTAGAAAGTTTTCCAAATTTCCTACAAAATGAAAAATATGACATCAAAATTACACAATTTTTATCAAAGATATAGGCTATTGTAATTTGTACAAGTTTTGGTCAATTATTTTGAATGAAAATTAATTACACCGTTTTACTATACATTACATTTACTTATTTCCATATTATATTGTCATTTGTTTACTGATCAATATACTATGTAAATATTTAGTGAAATAAATAGCAAATATAGTAATTAACATACTAAATTTTTCAAGGAGTTATAATTTGTGTCTTTTTAAAATTGATATTTAGCCAATCATCCTTGTTGTTACAATATGCTGGAAATATGAAAACCAATTCATTAATTCAATTTTTATTAATTATATCAATAAGTGATGGTTTTGGTGTTTTAGAAAATAATAATAATTTACTGTATTATTAAGTAGTACATAATAATGGAATATATATTGTAACATCACACTTATATTTTAAATTAGTAATAATATAACCTCAGACGATCACTTTCTACCATTGGAATATTTTCTTAATAAATAAGAGGTTATTAAATAATAAACAAAATTATAAGAGTATTAATATATTTATTTATCTCAGATGTGGGTTACTGACAATCAGATCAAAACACTCAGACAAACTAAAATTAACTGTATTAAACACTGTTTGATTTTAAAATAAAGTCAAATATGGATTGGCAAGCTTACCTTTTTTCTATAGATACTGTTTCTTCCTTTGTTGCACTAAATTCATTTGTCTTCAAATGCTTTCCAATCTTCTGCCAAACACAACTTCCAAGGTGGTAATACTATTACTGGATTTTACCCACTGGAGCCAGGATCCCTTCTCCCATCCTCTATTCACTGCAGCCACACAACTGCTTGCCAAAACAAATCCTTTGTTCCAACTCCCCTTTGGGATTTTCCTTTTCGGGAAAACTACAGAGAAGCTTTTTTCTTTTCTCTGAACTAGTAGAACTAGATCAGTTTGCCTTTTAACTGTTACATTAATTTATTAAACTATTTTTACCCACTTCCAATAAAGGTGTACATTACAATATTTATACCATACTATATAGTATAATAGTTTTTTGTAAACAGGTTTTTTTGCTATTACAACATCCTCAACCATCATCTAGGTTTAATCCATGGTCAGCAAAATCTACATAAATATGTCTAATAATTAATTTCTATTGTATTTTTACCACCATTAATTTTAGTTTTTTTGTTTGAACAGAACCATCTTCAAGAGTGGAATGGGACATTGGATTCGACCCATTGGGTACTGGCTTTGTTACAAAGGAAGTAAAACCTGAAAATTCCTTAACTACCCTTATCATCCTTGGTGTAGTGATTTCAGTTATCATCATAATTGTAGTAGGCTACATTGTTTATAATCGGTATCGCAGGTTATTACTTTTTATTATCCTCTCTTATAGTATATTAAATCTTTACTGTACATTAAAAACTTTTGTTTAAACATTCCGATTTTCAAATTAGTAACTTCTTATTTATATGACAACTCTTAAGTTATCTTAGAGTGCCAACAGTTAATAAACATTGTGCATTAAAATTCTACTGCAAAAACAAAAAAAATAATGGGATGACCTTTTTTTAACCTTTTGGCATCAGCGAGCTAAGTAATCTTCTATTTTTTTTTTTTAATTTCGTTTGCACAGTTTTTAAGAAGAGGAGAGCAACAAAATATTTTGGAAGGAATGGGGAAAGGTTCATTCACCATCGATCTTGGGGGGAGGGAGGGGATGGGCACCCCCTGTGTTAACCTATTTTATTGTTTCCATCCTTCTTTTTCTTATGTTTAAATATATATTTAGTAATTTAAATTTGTGTCCAGGCCTAAAGTGATTGGCGTCCTCTTCTCCAGCTGTTCCCAGCTACCTGCTCTGACCTTTTTCCAGCGTCCCTTCTCATCGATTGTTTATCGATATGAGACCTTTCCATGAATAATTTGTCCACTGATAATTGAGTACAATTCACTGTGCAACCTCACATTCCTATATATTATATATTCCTTCTCATTCCCTCACATAAGGGTCGTCTAAAGGAGTAAATACAGGGGGATGTCTACTACACCTCGTTTAACTAACTAAATAAAATTTATATAAACAAAATTAAGAATAGGAGCAATCGAACTGAGGGTTGTGTCATACAGATCGCAAAAACAAACAAGGTAGGAGCACATAGTGACCCATTACAATTTATTAATACTACTAGAAAAGCTCCAAAGTAAATCCCCACGCCATCTTTAGGCTCTAGTTAGCTTTATTTCACTAAGGAACCGGTAGAAATAAGCAAGGTCGAGTCAGCTACACTGAACATTTGCAAATAGAATAAAGGCAGTGCATCTCCTTTCGGGCTGAAGCCTCCCAAAATGGTAAAATTTAACCATGTCATATGAAAAAAATGATCTCTAAATGAATTATTTATTTATTTATTTTTTATTCTCCCCTACCTAGCCTTTTAGGCTTCATGGGGTTGTCCCCGGGCCAGAGGAGAGTACAGGGAGAACTATGCTGAGTGAAACCAACGGGCACCAGGATTTGTACTCTTAGTTATTTTTCCAGCTCTAACTTCTGTTGTCGCCGGAATGCGCAGTACTGTGCACATGCATTAGCTCGCTCGCTCACCCCAATCCCATCTCTATATGTTTTATTGTTAATTTAATAGGGCTTCAAGAATCACTTAAACTCCATTTCATATAGTTATTTCCTTCCTTTTTCTCCCAAAGTAATTATCCTTTTATGTATAAAAAAAAAGCTTTCGACTTGAAGCCCCTCCCCCCCCAAAATGAAATCTTGGATCCGCTAATGGTAATTAGCACTGAGGACAGGAGTGGGGCATGTCAGCATATGCTGTCATTAGCAACCGGGGCATGTTCTGTTGCATCCGTTTATGTGGTCATTAGCAGTTAAAGGGTAAATAACCAATTATTCTGTTATAAAGAAATGTACTCAACCATCAAACCCTTAGGCAGTGGCGCGGCTGAGCTATTGTATATGCATAGCACTGCGTTGCCTGGCAACCTGATGAAAGATAACTTGATAAAATAATTACGAGTTAGCGTCCCAGTCCTGAGGAGGGAGAGGGGAACTCTAGAATTAATCCCAGCCCTCACCCTCTGGCCCGGGAAAACCAATATAACCTAAAAGGTGAGGAAGGGAAGAACAAAAAAAAAATAAATAAAACATCAAAATCATGATGATACCTTGATGAGGAAAATCAATTTCTTTTGGTAACAAACTACTTTAACATTAATATCTTACGGAATAGTTCAATAATCAATAATCTATTTCATTTCCACTAATTTAAATTTAAATATTAAAACTTTAAATATGACTCTAGGATTCTTTATAAATTATTATTATAGTTTGACATCTGCCATCCACTGGAAGCAACAATGGACTTAAAAGCTGTAGTGCTACATCACCATGGTTTGCACCATGATGCAGCGCAACAGGCCCTCATCTTATAATTGCAACATTGCACAGGCTATGTGTTGAGGGAATAATTCCTCTTCATCCTCAATTGTTATAAGCTGCTTATAATGGGCATTATGGCTTTACAGGAGATTAGATGGAAAGCGCAAAAGAAATAGTCAACCTGAAGGAATACACAGTGATTCATACCGGCACCACAGGGAGAAATAACTTGCTGGGGACGGGTTTCGTTATCAAAGACTCAATTAAGCATGCCCTAATAAATATTGAGAACATAAATGAACGAATATGTTGCATTAGGATAAGAGGAAAATTCAATAATATATCCTTGATCAGCGCACACGCTCCAACAGAAGATAAAGATGAAGAAGAAAAAGATTTGTTTTATGGAGCACTAGAAGCAGCATATGATGACTTATCCAAGTATGATGCAAACATTTTATTGGGTGATTTCAATGCCAAAATTGGAAAGGAAAGTGCTTTTATTCCTACTATTGGAAAATATAGCAAGCATGCAATAACAAGCGAAAATGGAATCAGACTGATTGATTTTGCAACAGCTAGGGGACTTAAAATAAGTAGTACATGTTTTCCACATAAAGAGATCCATAAAGAAACTTGGATGTCGTCAGATGGAAACACTAGAAATCAAATCAATCATGTCTTAATAGATGAAATTCACAAATCACATATATTAGACGTCCGTAGTTTTAGAGGGGCGGACTGTAACACGGATCATTTCTTGGTAGGAACTAAATACAAACAGAGGATATGTAACCAGTATAAAAACAGAGAAGACCCCAGGAGAGTGTTGAACGTGGATGGCCTAAAGAACGAGAGAATGAAAGAGGCGTTTGAAAGAAAGGTCACCCAAAGATTAAATGAAAGAAATGTAGAAGAGCATACAGTCGAAGATGGCGGAGATTAAGTACGGTGCTGAATGAGGTTGCTGTGGAAGTGCTAAGATATAAACAGAGGAAATAAATAAATGGTTTGATGAAGAATGGTTACAAGCTATTAGAGAGAGGAATGATGCGAGAGCCAAATATTTGAAGAGGACAACTAGAGTGACAATGGAAAATTATATAATACACAGAAAAAAAGTCAAAGAAATTTGTTGAAAGAAAAAGAGGGCTTGGGAAAGCAAAATCATAAAAGATATGCAAGAGCAGTATGCGGCACAAGAAACTAGGAAATTTTACAAAGGCGGAAGAAATGCAAGGACCGGTTTCAAACCCGCATCTAGACTATTGTAAAGATAAAAGAGGAAATTTGCTGGGATTGAGAAAAGACATAGTAAATAGATGGACAGAATACTTTTCCGAATTATTAAATCAAGGAAACATAGAACTGAGTAATGAAGAGGAAACGCATAGAAATAGAGAAAACATATGTGAGGAAGAGGAAATACTGCTGGAAAAAGAAGAAATAGAGGAAATAATTATGTCTTTAAAGAACAAAAAATCACAAGGTATGGATGAAATACCGGCAGAGCTACTAAAGAATGGAGGAGGAGAATTAACTAAGCAGCTCTACGACCTCATATATATGATTTGGGTGCAGGAAACCATACCTGAAGAATGGAACACTGCAGTTCTATGTCCTATTTTTAAAAAGGGGGACAAGTTGAACTGCGATAACTACAGAGGAATAGCACAACTGCCAACTGTATATAAAGTCCTTTCCATTGCTATTAGTAAGAGAATAGCATCATGGGGAGAAAGAATTTGCGGAGACATCAATGTGGTTTCAGGAAAAATAGGTCAATAGTGGATCACATCTTTGCTGTAAGACAAAATCTAGAGAAAACATGCGAGCATAACGTGAATCAGCACCATATCTTTATAGATTTTAAGCAGACGTATGATTCTATAGACAGAAAGGAATTACAGAAAGCTATGAGGATGCTAGGAATTCCTGCGAAATTGATTGCCTTGACAGAGATAACACTAAGAGATACCAAATGTAAGATCAAGATTCAAAACGTTCTCTCAAACAGCATTCAGGTAAAACAGAGCTTGAAGTAGGGAGACCCTATATCACCAGTCCTCTTTAATCTAGCCCTGGAGCGGGCTGTTAGAGCAATAAGGACCAATCTTGGAGGGACTATATTCAATCGACTTATTCAATGTCTTGCATACATGGACGATATTCTTATCAGCGCTAGCACATTGTCGGCCCTTGCAGGATCTATCGAAGAATTCGATGTGACAGCAATGCAACTTGGCCTGAGGATAAACGAAGGGAAAAGTCTTTACATGAAGTCCTCAAAGAATAATGTAGCTATGAATATGTTCAAATTAATTAGCACCTCTTTTTAATGGGAACAGAATTCAAATACCTCGGAGTAATAGTCACTGAACAGAACAAAATGCAGGCCGAAATAAAGGCCAGAATTACAGCTGGCAATAAGTGTTTTTTTGCACTGGTAATAATACTGAAATCCAAGGAACTGAGCTGGAATACAAAAGTAACAATTTATAAAACCATTATAAGGCCAGTCGTTACTTACGGGTGTGAAACATGGATTTTGACACAGGAAAGTGAGAGGTTGCTGATAATCTGAGAGAAAAGTCCTAAGAAAAATATACGGTCTGAAGAAAATAAATGACCAGTGGGGAATACGAAAAAATGATGAGCTCTATGAACTTTTTAAAAATGATGATATTGTAGCCACTGTCAAAAGGAGCCGGCTCAGATGGCTGGGCCATGTAGAGAGAATGGAGGAGAATAGTTTGCCTAGGAAACTTCTCTATAACCGTCCAGGAGGAGCACGTCTTAGGGGAACACCCCGGCTGCGGTGGATCAACTGCGTCGAGGAGGACCTCAGTCACATGGGTATCAGAAGATGGAGAAGAATAGCTGCCAATAGGGAAGTCTGGCGGAAGCTTGTTTCTGATGCCCAGGTCCATTAAGTATTGTAGAGCAAATTAATAATAACAATCTTTAGTTTCAATAAATTAAAACTATTAAATAGAGATGAATATGATAAAATTATAAAATATTTATAGTCAATTGATATCCCTAAATATATTATTACAGCAAGGCTTGAAATCGTTTTGTATCAAATATAACCTCCTGTCATGCTCAAATACCATGAATGGGATACCGTTGGATTCAGAATTTCATGGAGGGTTAGCGAATCGTATTCTCTGCTTTTGTTTTTCTTTCTAAAATAAACAAATATTTTGCTAGGCTTCAATACTGGAACGGTGGTAGGTCTGTAGATCAATACGGGACAAATTGGACCTTGAAGATTTTGATGCGTACAGCAAGACCCGAATAGTTCCTTCAGAACTATTGGAGCCTGCGTTTTTAAGCCCAAAAATGTACTATTTTTGAGATAATGCAAGGTATAGGGTTCGCATCCACACAACCTTACGTTAATTGTAATACTGTCATTGAATACATGTCTCATTTCGTCGACTTGAGGCCTCTATTATATTATTTATCGATGGTATTTTTGATCGGCTAGCCATATCATCGTTAATTCTTCACCAAATCTCAAAATTTAGCCATCAATTTTGAAGGATTCCTTCTCCTTCAGGCGGGCAAAATCGTCCAATCACCCCGAAAATTCAGGCAAACAAGTTATGAAAGAAGACAAACTTTATTTGCAAATAACTAAAAAATTACACACTTTTCCCTTGGTTATGCCCATGATTATATAAAAGATTACTAAATTCCCAACAAAAGGGAAAAAAAAAATCATCAAAATCGGACAATTTTCAGCAAAGATATAGCTTGTTGAAATTTGTAAACATGTTGATTCCAAACATTAATGAAGATTTGAATTAATTTTTGTTTCCTTTGTCGATTATATTTATCAATAAAGTAACAATTGATTTATTTATCTTTTGATACGTTGCATTATTTTATTTTCCTATTTGGCATTTGATAACAATATGTTCCTGTTTGATTGTTATGTTTGATAACAATAGGCCCGTGTGAAAAATTCGCCCAGGCCTACTAGTCTATTATAATATTTTTAAACAAGTTTTAATTGTGAAACTGGCGTAGTAAGTTTCAACTAACTTATTATGATTACTTATTATGACAATTAATAAATTGGATTTTTAAAAATAAGTAAAAATATGAAACAAGAGTATGGTGCTATGTTATGTTATTCTGCTGCAAAGAGTTACATAACATATTTGATGTTGTTTCTGTTGTTCATAATATATTTCTGTTTGAATTTTATCATATCTATAATGATGGTTATTATGGCTTTCAGAAAAAAACGAAGTGAGCGTGTATACATGTATAATGGAAGAAGTGTATTAACATTTTCAAATCCAAATTATAATGTGTCATCCTCCAATATTGAAGCAACAGAAGAACATCATAGACCATCTATATGGAGAAAACTACGTTTTGATAGGTCTCATGTAAGTAAAACCCTCCTTTTTTTTTGTATTCGCTATTAATTATAATCTTATAAAATGTACCCAATATCTTATAATCAGATACCAGATTTTAATGGCATTGGATATTTAGTGTTTTATGGTGTATAAATATATTTTCTAATCATTGTATATAGATACAATTAAAACAAATTCTATATTGTTGCATTATAAGCTCATAGCTGAATTTATTGATTAAAACGTTTATTTTTAACTTTAATGAATAACTAATATTTTATTTCATTACTGCATAATAAATTTTATTATCTATTTTTATAGAATTGGATACTTATTATATTAAAAATCATATTCTGTCTTACAAAAATATAATAGGTGACATATATTCAGAACAGAAAGGAGCATGCTAGTCCAGATCTTTGTCTTAAAAGAAGTCCTCGAAAAAGGATGGGGAGTAATTCAGGAATAAGTAATTTTAATAAATTGTGAACATTACTTATTTTGTGGCCTTGGTTTGAAAAGCTTCTAACTAAAAAAATTGAGGGACCAAGTGCCCAAGCGGGCTAATGCATGTGCACAAGTTGCTAGTAACCTGATTACTGAAGTTTAGATGATAAAAGTACAAGTTTGCATCCCGGTGACGGTGGGTGCTTTTAACTCTGGCATTAATCCCCCACTCTCACCTCCTGACCGGGGAAGGGGAGATAAAAAAAAAAAAACTAACAAAATTCGGAAAATTCACAATCATCAGTAAACAACTGAGGATATCGACCAGACTTGGGTAAAGAAATGATGGTTGGGGCACCAAAGGAAATTCTTGCTGGGGGAACTATCCAATCAAATATGGTGACGAAGAAATCGTAAAATGTATGCAAAGCCTCCTAATAGATGTCTGGCAACAGAAAAAAATGCCCAATGAACGGAGTGAGACTTTAATATGTCCAATATATAAAAAGGGCAATGTGCTAGAATGCACTAATTATCATGGAATCTCACTCCTCTTTATTGCCTATAAGATCCTTTCTTGCATGCTATTCGAGAGGCTCTTACTTAAAAGAGCCACATGAGCTATGACTTAAAAGTAGAGTATTGCTTTTGAAATAAATATCCTTTATTTCATTTAACTTAAAAAGGATAAATTAAATTAATATATCACTTTGTAAAAAAAATACAAAATATTTTTATTTAATTCGGCTTTTCAATTCTACGTGCCCTACATGAAAAGAAAAATCTCAAATTCTGGAGTAGTTTGTATTCTTTTTATTGATAAAGTTATGATATAAGAAAATTAGAAAACAAATAGCTTAACACAAAAAATGGACTACGGTGAATGATGGATTTTTCTATTACATTTTTGGTAACATTCAACATATATTTTTATATATATTCATTAAATGTTAAGCCCTAAATTTGTGAAGTTTTCTCTTGGTTGATCACACAGATAAGATTTATTATTGTAAATAATAAACATGAAAAATAGCAAATATGTCACTTGACCATGTACCAAGATATAATTCCAACTCTAGTTCTGTCTACTCCTTTTGTTTTTCATTAGGCCAATCAAGAGTCTGATTATAAACAGATTTATAGCAAAAATAAAATAACTCCTACATGAATACATACAAAACATCATCATATAAGTTCTATTACCACTAAGTCAATATCTCTATCTTTACAAGAGGTACAATAAACTACCTTACTTTGTTACTCATGACCTTCACCTTTTAACCAATACAAAATTTCCACCTCAAAGTCTTTCAAATAAATTTTTGACTTTATGAATATGCATTCTCAAATGACTAAGTTATAACAGAAAAGTTTCAGTATTCAAAATTATATTAATAAGCGATACAATTAAATCATCAATGAATGTGAATATAAGTTCACTGGTGAAAGATATTGTAGAAACAAATTTCTTTAGTATAAGTAAAAAAAATATTTCTTCTGTTCATTTATCCTAATTTTGGTGTCTTAAGGTTTTATTTTTTTGAAAAATTAGGCAAATTATATGAAGGAGAATATATATAGGAATGAAATAGGAGAACTCACCACATCCTGGTGTAAAAAAAATCCATAGCTAGTAATAGAATTTTAAATTGGCACAGTAACCATTGTCCAAATCACAAAATTAATCTAGCTAAAAACATAATAAAAAAAGCTAAAATGATCACAGATAAAATACATATCAATAAAATAAAAACTGAAATATATAATATATTACTGTATAATTGGTACGTACCCTAAAAGAATTATAAATAGAATATGGTGCAAAAATCATAAAATGAAACGGAATGATAATAATAATGATAACAAACAGCAGAAAATAAACCATAACAAAAATAACTACCAAAGTAAAATTTTTAACAAAAAATCGAATTTAATTACAAATTACTTTAAAAATAATAATTCGGAAATATCTAATATCCTTGAAAAACAATCTCAAAAGTTACCCAGTGCCATACAATTAGAAAATAAAATTGAACAATGTAACATTAAATATCATTCAATAACTTATATTAAAGACCTAACTAGTAAAATTCAAAGGACCTCCAAGGAATATGATCTATCTGAAATTAAATTAGGTAAAAAGCCAGTAAATAAAATTGAAAAATTGTATACTAATACCAAAGATATTATACCACGTGACTTGAAAAGTAACCTTATTTAAAAAATAAATTGTAAAAATTGCACTAATAAATCATATATAGGACAAATGGGACAATGGTTCGCAAAAAGAATAAAACAACATGAATAAAATTGTAAGTCCAAATCAACCGGCCTTTCACAACATGCAACATACAACAAACACCAATTTGATTTTAAAAATGCCAAAATAATATATAAGGAAAATAGTAAAAATAAAAGAGTATATATATATTACTAAAAATTTAAAGAATTCCGTTAACAACCTTAGAAATATGGACAATATAAATACTTTTTATGCAAATTTAATTAACAATATTCGCATATAATACAATAATAATTTAAAAGCAATACAAAAATCATAAATTAGATAATAGACCATGACAATTTAATGTTTATTGAACATATTATTTGCGACATTAATGATGAATATATAACGGAGGATTCATCAAGGTAATAGTCAATTGTTTTTAATGTAAGGTTTAATGTTGAAAGTTACGTACATATAAGGTTTTTTTTTTATAAGAAAAAGTGTATACTTGTATGTATAGATTTGGATAAATTTATGTGTATCGAAAATAATATGACATAGACCATTAAACATGTTAATTAAGTGTAATAGGAAATTATTTTTCCAATTGTGAATGTTAACTAATAATGATATTACAATTTTTCATACTTGAAAATGACCCTTAGTATGGCCGAAACGTCGAATTAAATAGCGTATCAATAAAACGTTTGGTGATAATTGTCCTAATTTTTCAAAAAAATAAAATCATATTCATTCTACAGTAAATTGCAATCTTGAATCTCTGTTTCTCAAAATTATAATAAATTCAGTCAGAACCTTTTCCAACCAATACCAAAATTTGTTAAGTAATTTATTATATATTAACTTTCCTCTTTTCTAGGAGAGGACACTGTGTTCCTGCGATACAGGTCAATGTGATGGGGATAAGACAGGCAATGCTGAAGTTGTTTCATTGATTCGTGTACCTCCCAGTCCCAGCCCGATATTGCTACCTTCGAAATCCCTGGCTTCAACATCGAATTGTTAACTGTTCTTGAATCTTTGTACAATCATAAATTCCTAATGCCATAATATTCTTCACTATGTTGTTTAATTTTTTAACAAAGCTCAATCCATGTATTATTCTCAAACTTCTATTGTCATTATATTGTTAGTGGTTAAAATTTCATTTTATATTCAACAGTAATATTACCTAATAATAAAAGTAAAAAATTCAAATTTATTTTGTAAGACCCAATGCATATAGCTCAATTGTAACAATTAATGTGGACTGTTTGTAAAAATTACTATTTTAAATTATATTAACTTAATGTAAAATGATTAGATTAATCATTTTTTTTTTTAAGATAGAATGGTGTAGCACTATACTTTGCATTTTTCAAGTTAAAGTACACACATAAACTTACACATTCACAACTAACACAAACACATATGTATATTCTTTATGCAGAAAATTTTTGCAGTTCTACAAGCATTGCTAAGTTTGAATACTGAATATTAATATATTTTATAGCTGCTGAAAACCATTTTGTGAATTATGATCACTTTATATTCTGTTTTTGTAATATACTTCTATTTTTATGTTTTAATGGAATTTCCATTGTGATATTTATATTCATATTATTGTCATATTTTTTTAATGGGTCATATTAAATCAAGTTTAGTGGATTTGACTGTATAAGTTTTATTACAATAATTTTTTCAACTGTACATTCTTTAATATTTAACTTTTGTTAAAAAAAAAGTGAGAAATAAAAAAATATATATAAATATTTCAATTACTCTGGAAGCATGGTTTTATAATAAAATATTAGAGGCTGTGTGTAAATGTAACTCCTAACCAGACAACAATGAAAAAACATTAATTATAGAGGCATTTTTTCAAACCCTGAAAAAATAGGGAGAAAAATAGAGTAGTATATTTCTATATATACTAGAACTCTTCTTATCTCAATTGATAAATAAATTTTTGTCTTAAACATTCAAAATCTTATGGCTTTAATATGTACTTCAAAATTTACTGATGTTGCCTGGTATATGTGAGAACTTTCTTTATCAGAAATTGTATGCTTCCTGAAACATTGTTAACATGTTTGAATGCATATAGCAAAAAATATTTTAAAATGTTAATATATTTGTGGCAATTGTTCAAGCCATTTTGAATAAAGATATTTGCAATGATTTTGTAATTTTAAATTTAGTATCTAACATTTTTTCTTCATATAGATCAGATACATAAGGTCATTATAGCTTCCTTTAGAATGTAAAACTATATTTTTTAAAAAAATTATAACAATTAGAAATTGTTTCATTTAAATAAAATATCAATTTTTTATAAAATATATCTTTTGTACAAATAAAAAATAAGCATATAAATTTCCAAACTTTTCTACAGGTTTCTTATGTATTATTTACATTATCAGTATGAACTTGTATTATTCATATAATGAATTAAATAGATACCTAATTGTATTTTAATAATTCTTATTTTTATATTGGTTTGTTATATTAGAATCAGCAGTATTATCAGATTATATTTATTAGAAATTAGTACTAGAGACGGAATGACTGTAAAACCTAATTCCAAAGGATCGTTTGGACACATTCTCATGGGACTTCAATTATATTTTAAACTAATGCCATTGTGCTTTGTTTTTGTTATTTTTCTCATTTTCATTTCATTGAAGTATAATTGGTCATTTTGTTTCTTATTTATTTTCACATTCAGGGATTGATCCAAGACTATCACGATGGAATGTAATTTTTAGGGTATACACTGGCAATAACTTTCAGCTGTTGAACGGTCATAGCATTTTCTCTATTAACATATCAATACGTCATTTAACTGTTAGGTAGCAAGGATTCGTTAAACTTGCTAGCTCAATCAAGCGATTGAGATCCAATTCAAATGGCATGGCTGTCAAATGAATTGGAAAGCTCAAGATTTTTGCTAATTTGATTTGATGTGTGAATGATTTTTTTTTTCTTTGATGGCTTCAAGTTTTAAGGTGATATTTCAGAATGGTTTTTGAACTTTTTTTTTCATCTATTAAAAAAATTGTCATGTAATCTGATAACAATGGCATTAAAAAAAAAAAACTTGTCTTACTAATTAATTAAAATTAATTATTGACAGATCCAAGAATTTTATGTTTATTTGACTGGTTAATTAGATCAATTCCATCCAATGTATAAATGTATGCATGTATGTAACAAACAAAAAAAATGCTCATGTGTTAATGATAAAAATTAGTCAAAAACCATCAACATAGGATGTGCATTATTAAAATTTTATTGTTCAGTTATTTGATAGAAAATGTTTTTCAAAAAAAAAAAAAGGGGGGTTTATTATAAATCCCATTTATTATTACTTTATTAAATAAAAATTATATATATCTGTAAGTTCAATATAGTTACTACTAATATAGCCTTTTGAAAATGTCATTTGGATTTCTCATAATGAGAAAAAATTGTATAGTAATGTTGGATTAGATTTGTGGTGCATTGTATTGAGAGGGAATGGCTCAGTCCCTCCTCTACAAACTTCAAATCATAGTTCTGATGGTAGTTCTAGTGATTAAATTCTCAATTTAATTATTTATATATAATTTTATTTTGTAATAAGAAGGCAAATTTATAATAATAATAAACGTATTGAATATCTTATTTACCTTAAGTAAGTGAATAATTCTATCCAACTTTTATCCTGATCTCATCAAGTCCAAAATTCTTTTATTAATAGTTTAGAATCTTCTTCATTTCCAATCTCACTTTACAATTTTTTCACATTTTGGGACTGTTTAGATGTTCCATGTTATTAGAAATCAATGATTGTAGGAAGTGAAAGATATATTAAAATATATAGGTACAGTCATATTCACACAGCATATTCCAATAAGCCTAATATAAAATTTTTTGGTTAGGCATTAAAATGTTAACTGATATGTAAGTGTGAATCTGTACTTTTAAATCTTGTTTTAGAAAATAGGTGTATTCACATGTTTAATGACTGTTTTATTGTGTTAAAACTCTAATCTATTATATATGATGTTTATTCTTAGATAAACATATTTGTGTTTACTATAAAATTTTTGAAATAAAGAAAAAAAAAAAGATTGACTGTATGTAATTAAAATGTTTTGCCTCTTGAAAGGAGGAAGATTGTGTATAAACTATTTTTGAAGAAAGACTGTATAAAATAAACATTATATGTATATGTAATTATGGTTTGTTATAGTAAAACCTTAACATCTATCCTTAGGACGTAGTTTGAGTAACAAGTAAGCCTACAGCAGAAGTGTGGGTGAAGTTCTGATGTTGCACCATCCGGGGTGTTCATTATAGATCAAGATCTCAATCCCTGTCTGCGGACCATTGCAGCACCAAGCACCAACTTAGTAACACCTGTAATAATTTTGAGTGCATGATTCTAGACTGCACCAAGCTTTTTAACTGTTAGAAAGAATTAGGCACAGACATATTACTTCTGTACTCTATTTTGCAAATTAACACCTCTTGAGAGGTTACCGTTCATTCATAAGGCAGCGTATTCATAAGGCACAATCTCTTTGTTCTTTTTGATGTGCTGTTCTCTAAACTAGCAGAGAGACGAACTTTTGGTAGTAGTCATATTTGAAACTTTTTTTCTGTTTATATATCAATATCGTTCTCTCCGGTATAATGTTGGAACTTGATAAACTTTGCACTTAAAGAAGTAATTTTAAACGTATTTGATGCCCTTAGTTGTGGCAAAATGTAATATTATTCAATAAAGAAACAAAAAAAAAAAAAAAAAAGAGTCACTAGTTGGTATGTTGTTAGTTTTTGGCTTGATTGATGGTTGTTCGGTTAAAACAAAGTGCATGGTGGTGTCTACATCTGAAGCAAGAATGTCATCCGATTTCCCGGGTAATATTAACATGATATTAGTATCATATGATACTATGTTTGAAGCTGTTGAGTACTTTAGGTACTTTGAAATAAATATTAAGTGCAAAAACAAGACGAGTGAAGAGATCAGGAAAAGGATCATGGTAGGGAATAGAGTGTATTATGCTCTTGCAAATTTCTGCAAACTGAGACTTCTCACCAGAGCTGCCAAGATGACGCTTCACAAATTGATTGTCAGATCTGTTGTTTGCTATGGCACAGAAACCTGGAAGATGAAACTAACTGATCAATACATACATGTGTTTGAAAGGAAGATTTTGGAACATATTATTGGTCCAAGATGTGCAGCATACTAGAAATAATTAGGAACTGAAACTTAATAAAGCATGAAAATATTAATAAAATATAAAGTATTAAGTGGCTCAGTCATATGCAGAGAATAGAAGATTGTAGGATGACGAAGGAAATAATGGGAGAGAATTTGTCATCTGGATGACCTAGAAGAGGATCTGCCAAGGATTGGAATAAGAGGACAGAAACAGCTAGCTTTGGATTAGGACGCTTAGGACCGAACTGTGTAGGAGGCTGAAGTCCACCTAGAACTGTAGTGCCAGCAAAGTAAGTCAGTAAGGTTGTCTGGTTTGGGTTGCATATGCCATTAAGAGTCTGAAGAGTAATGCTCATGCTTGATAGTGCCAAAGAAAATGCTTGTCCTTTTGATGTATTAGTTTGCAGCAACAGTTTATATGTTTAGTACCTTCAGTACTTTACTTACTTACTTACTTTACGTTACTAACAATGATGTTGCTTGCATCTCCACACTTGAAATCAATAGAGTACCTGTAGGATTAACTAAAGAGAAACATTTAGAGCCCCAGAAATTGACTTCAATAATTTTCAGTAAGTAGGTCACTCAAAGAATGGGAGATCTGATCACATCAATCAAAATGTAATTGAGAGGAAAGTTGAAGTTGTTATTTAGCCCAATTGAAATCTAGCATGATATTAATTTTCTCATGCAGATTCAGACAATCTTAAATTATTTTCACTAATTTTAATAATACGAGTAATTTCATTTCAGGAGTTGTAAAATTTGTATTCTGCCATTTAAAGTGAAAATGAAGATTTTTTTTAATT